TCTCTCTCCCCTCTCTCTCCCCCCGCTGGTTAATCGCATTGCTGTAGCACCGGCTGACCTCCCTCCCTCTCCCGCTCCCTCTCTTTTTTTTGTTCTTCATCTTCCTTCAAAGTATGTGTCATTCCTGAGCGAGTTTCCCCGCCGGCTCATCCCTGGAGCTGCCCAGCTCCCCGGCTCCGCATGCCCCACCTGTAAGTGCCGGGGGGGGCGGATTTCTCTCCCCTCTTCCCCTCCTCCCCTTTCTCTCTCTCTCCCTTTCTTTTAAAAAATATTTTTTAAACTTTTCCCATCTTGCTGTGTCTTCAGCCCGAGCAAAACTCTCTCCATTCATTGTGGAGAGGTTATGGATGTTTCTGTGTTTCTTTTTGTCTTTCTCTTCCTCCTCCCTTCCTCCCCTTTCTTTCCTTCCACTTCATTGGCTGGGATGATCTTTCCCTGTTGCTTCTGATGTTTCTTTCTTTTTCTCAGTGTGTGCCTGCCTACCTGGACTAGGGGGAAGATAAGGTAATTTTGAAGGGCTTGAGGAAGCGGCTTACGTGTTTTGAAAACTTTTTTTTGGAGATTTCTTTTTAAGAGTCCTGTGAAAAATCAGTAATTGAAGAGAGTTTGGTAGCAGCTGGGCAGGTTGAAATTTAAGTGTTATGTGCTGAATGCCTTGGGAATTTGATCTGCTTTATACCAAAGAAGAACACAGAGAAAAGTATTTATTTATTGGGGGAAAGGAAGAGGGGGGGGAGGAAAGCAGGTTAAGGGAGGGGGAGGGAAGTGGTTTTGGAGACAAGAAGTGAAGCTGCCTGTTTTCCAGTAAGTAATGGAGAAATTCCAGGAGCCAGGGCTAAATATACTTGGCGATCAATACAGAAATGGCTCATTGTGAATAATTTAGCTGCCTGGTGCAGTGAGAGTTTTGAAACTAAAGGCAAAAAAGAGGCCGTGGAGGGAGAGAGGAAATAAAATTCTCCTCTGGTCATGTCAGATTCTTAACTTTTCCACTTAAAAGAACATAGTTATGATTATTGATATCTCTCTCTCTCTCTCTTTTCCCCCCTCTCAATATATATCAAATGATAGCTAGGGGGTGTCATTCTATACAGTTACTTGGGTTTCTGGAAAGTAATAGCTTGTTCTGTGTCAGCAAAGTGCTTCCAGAAACTTTAAGATTGCTTCACGCCACAAAATGCATGATCTGGGAGTATTAAGTGTAATGTTTGGCCCCATGCTGTGGCAGATAAATAGGGTTAGAGTGAACAGGTGCGTGTACAGGTGTGTGTGTGCGTGTTCGGTGGTGTGGGACAAAAAGCTGTAATAACTCTTTCGAAGGGGAACAGACACGGGAGGGCTTTATTTTGTTTAGATCAGGATGGAGTCTCTTGGAGTGCGTGTGAAAAGAGCAATTGTTAATTGTATCCATCTCCTCAAAGTCTGTTCTGGCTGCGAGAGCTGATAATTTATAAAGCATTACCATCCCAGCTTGAACAAAACAAGTGGAAAGTCAGGGAAAAAACTCTCAGATCAGGTAAAAATGCAAGTTGGGGACAGAGAGGGGTATGGTCAGACCAAGATGATCCCAGTGTCGCCTGCCCAGGGGGCAGCTGAATTTCTCTACTCAGATAATGTGCAGGAAGAGTTTGGTGATTTGCAAATGAGCACATGCAGTACACTTGTGTGCTTCTCTAGGCAATGGTTGCAACAGCAGTAAAATGGGCAACTACTTAGGGCTTTAAGTAAGTTTAATCATTTAATGGTTGATACTGACAGGCATCTTTGAGGGTGTACTTTTCTGCCTTGCAGCACTGCACTTTGACTATGGAAGCAGAGGCTGCTGATGGATATATAACATGTAAGTAGTCATTTCATTTGATTATTCCGAATTACTTTCCTTTTCCCACTATCCTTTCTATAATGCAGACATCTGAAACTTTAGCTTCTTTGTGTATGGTCTTTGCATTGAGATGACACTGAATTAATAGCATTTAAACATAAACTTTTTGTATGACTGAAAAATGTGTGGGAAGGGGTGCATGGGTGAGTAGCTCTAGGTTTAAATATTTAGTGAGGATGAATGAACTTTGCAAATGAGGGAGTGTTAATCTTCAGAAATTCAAATTGCAACCAAAAACTTTTTATGCCTTTCACTATGCATTTCTCCTGTTTTCTGTGTCAGGGCAAAACGTCTTAGTTTAAGTGCTTTGTTTAACTGTCAGTTAACTGAGAGCTTTGGGGGGGGAAGGTCTATACGTTAAAGGGCTACTTCAGTGTTCTCCTGCCCAGCCCCAGTTCTCAGTGTCTGCAGATAGAAAAGTAATCCTAACTTCTCTTGAGACAAAGCAGCTGGGGCAAGGTTTGTCACAGGTGTGTGCATAGAAGACTGGTGACAGTAGGTTTGGGGGGGCTCTTAAAATCAGTCAGTCAAATGTTTACTTGTGGCCACTGAGAGTCCGGTTTTTACAGGCTGTGGAAGACCCTGCTGGTAAGGGAGGGAAGGGCGAAGGGAGCGAGCGAGTCATACTTTTTAATTGTTGTGTTGCTCTGCTGAAGAAGGGGATGGAAACTTATGGGGGACTTGTTTTGTGAAAGCAGGTGACAATGAGCTTTCGCCCGAAAGGGAGCACTCCAGCATGGCCATTGACCTCACCTCCAGCACACCCAATGGGCAGCATACCTCCCCCAGTCACATGGCAAGCAGTAAGTCTCTTCTTAAACCTGTTCCTCTCTAGCAGCGGGTTTGGGTTAGTCTGGTCCTCTGGGTCCTCGGCTTGCTTACGGGGTCTTAACCACTGCTGTAGGCATTGCTAGTAAAAGAAGAGAAAGACAGGGTAGATTTTTTTTTTTCCTTTTCTTTCTTGTTCATGCTGGTGTCTCATCTAAACATGAACGGGATTACTAGTCTGAACTATCCCAAGGTGGCATTTGAGAGCTGGTCCTTACCTGTTCCAGGTAGGAAAACACTAGGCGTGACATGTGCTGGTTTTGTTTCATCAGGTTTTGAAATACAAATGGAAATTGTTGTTATTGTTATTATTACTTACTGTGCTTCCCAAAACAGCTTGAAGTAGCTTTATTTGAAAACAAACACATTTTATTTACAAAAAAGGCTTTACTCTGGCAAAAGTGTAAAGTTAAAATATCTGGGTTTGATGACAGGTTGTATTTTACTATTTCATATAGTAGGAAAACACTAGGCGGCGTGACATGTGCTGGTTTTGTTTCATCAGGTTTTGAAATACAAATGGAAATTGTTATTGTTATTATTACTTACTGTGCTTCCCAAAACAGCTTGAAGTAGCTTTATTTGAAAACAAACACATTTTATTTACAAAAAAGGCTTTACTCTGGCAAAAGTGTAAAGTTAAAATATCTGGGTTTGATGACAGGTTGTATTTTACTATTTCATATAGAAACTTCAGCATCCTGTTCATTACTTCAGCTTTGCCTTGGCAAGTCCAAAAGTGGCAGGGATAATTGGAAGTTTATGGCACTTGGTAGTTGACTCTCTAACAAACTGAAAGGATTTTGTTTTAGAATGTCAGGGGAGAAATTGAGAAAATGTAGAGATTTGGGAGTCTACTGAGAGTGTCAAGTGCTGATAATATTTTTATAATTATTTTCATGCTATATTTTGGAGGCGGATAAACGTAGTTTACACACTCTTCATAAAACCAACATCCTTTCTTTTTTGTGTGTGTGAGTGCCATAGCTTGTTTTACTGTTGGTTACAATGTTACATCAAGATATTTACCTTAAAGTACCTCTGTACTTGTACTCAAAAATAATGTAACATGCTTTGCTTCCAATATACTTTCAGAGGGTTCCTCTCTATGTGATACTAATTTTCTTCCTAGTGTGTGTACTGTAGATACATATTTATCTTTTTAAACTGAGTGTTTGTATAATACCCCACCGAAAACTGTGAAAGAAAAAGTAAGCTTTTAGAGTTGCTTGCTTTAAAATACAGTGTATTGCCTTCAGTCTTTCTTACCGAGAAAAAGATGTTACTTTCCTTTAAGAATTCTTCTTTCCTCCTGCAAATTATGAGTAAAACGCAGTTTTTATGAGCCTTTAAAACTGAGGGTTATTATGAAGATCTCCCAATTATGTACATGTTGCTAGAGAATATGATTGCTAATACTCTGGACTGAACTTTATATGACAACCGATCGTAATTCAGCATCTTTAGACAGTTCCAATCCTGCTGCACTGGGATTCTGATATATTTTATTATGTTGTAAAAGTTTTACTACTCACTTTCTTCATTTTCTTTGTTTCCTTTTTATTAATGGGAAGCCTTCATTGGAAAGGAAAAAAGCTCCCTGTTTTAAATCTTCTTTATAATCTAGACTAAAAAGCAGAGTCAAATTAGGGAATAAAAAGATCTAGGATGAAGTCATGCAAAAATACTTTAACACATTCAATATTTTCGTGCTCGTTGTGTTAACATTTTCAATGATTTTTAAGCTTCGTTAGTTCTTGCAACACACATGTATCTGCAGCCTTGGTGAATATCTTATTTTTTTAAGTGTGTTTTGTGATATCTCACAGGTGTCTCAACTGCTTTCATCGCTGCTGCTCTGTGTTAAGCATGTGCTGCTGTTGAAAAATTAGGGGCTCTGCCTGGGGTTCTTAAGCCAAGCAAAACTCGAGCTTCTTAAATTTGTTGTAATTTATTTACTCTTTGCGGGCATAAGAATGTTTTTCAGAGAGGTGGTTTGTTCTGTCTTAAACATGGAAGGTATTGATTAGAGGTTGTCAGCTTTTGTGGCAGCTCTTACGTTGGTTCACTTAAGGTTTTTGGCCAAATCTTGAATCTGGCATGCGTAGACTAAATCACCAGGCTGTGCTTTAGAGCTTTCCACCTGTTTTAGAGGGTACAGGAAATTCTTTTAAAGGTTCAGTAACCCAGGGGCCTGCAACCTCTGGGGATTTTTTTGTTTGTTTGGGGTTTTTTTTAAGGAGAGTTGGAGGTGGGAGAGTAAGGAGGAATAGCTGTTTGAAATATTTTGTATGAATTTGGTAGCTCCTGTTGGATTGATCAGTCATCCTTTGTTGTAAGTGGAGGAAGTGGCTGCGTCACATTTCAGTATGGTTTAATTTCTAGTGGAGTCACTGGAGACTGATCTACTGTTGGCCTGCCGCTATAGCGAAGTCCAAGGCATGTCATTCTGGCTGGGTAAGGTTTGCTAATGGAGGAGGTGGTACGTAAGGTGGTATGTGGATCAGACCCCAAATGTTTTGCTCCCCATGTTGTTGCCAGTCATCCCCAGAAGGTGGATGGCCCTATTTAGCTGTGCATTCAGGATGTGCACCTACAGGGCAGAGATCTAAGTTTTGACCTTTGTTCTTGCATTCCATTGAGTTGATTTGAACCACAGCTCTTAATTTAGCCTTTATTTGTGTCTGGCTGAAATGGAGACAAAACTACAAGAAACAAATTTCTTGGATCTGTACCGAAATGACTGAGCAGTGCTCTCCCAGCAACAGTAAAATTATGTGTGAGGTAAAGATTTTTCTATGTTCGTTAGCTCCTGGCAATCCATGTTAGTAGGAGTTCTGGCTGGGCTACTGATGTTTTCAGGTTCTATTCCAAAAGGTTTTGGGTTAAATATTTTGGCTCGTGTTGAAGGGTTGTCTACTGCATCCTTTAGCCTATTACCATTTTCAAGTATCTAGATGGTATGTATAGGTTATGGATGGGGCTGACACTCAATTTTCCTTGTGAATGAGATGATCCTGAAAGATAAATCACAGTAAATAGCCTGTCATAGCTAACTAATGATCTTACATATACCTTACGGTATATATCTGCCTTTAGCAGAATACTGTATGTATGTTGGCAGATGTTCTGTTCTAAAACACTTTATTGTAGTTTTATGTAAGCAAAGATTTAAAATACATGTAAATAGTCAAACTGAATAGGTTGATAGATCATCTCGCTTTCCTCTACAGCAAAAGACAAATTAGTGCTATACCTGCTGAGTACAGATGATACATTTACATAGCCCCAAATCTGGAAGTCCAGATTTTCTTCTGATCTTCCATAGGAAAACTCTCCCAAGGGCTGACATGCAGAACTGGGCATCAAAGGCCTGCTCAATTAACTTCGTGTTGGTACTAGAGAGTTCCCTGCATGGCCCTAAGTCCTCCTCTTGACCCCACTGAGTTCAAGGGAGTCTGTCTTGTTGCCTTGGGTGGATGTTGAACAGGGCTGTAAGTGATCAGGAGCCTCAGAATAGGAACTTGCATGCTAATTAAAGGCTGATGGGGAATTCTTACAAAAGAGGCTTTAAAAAGAAATAATTCCCAGTCACCTCCTCATAATACCATGCTGAGTTCTTACTATAGTTATTTGAGATATATATTACTTTTTTTTCCCTGTAGATTGAAATGGACTTAGAAGAATGTCCCTTTTAGAAACTGCAGGGGAACAGTTGTTCAGTTAGTTGACTCGATGACCGCTTTGTATAGGATGAAGGATACTTCTCTAAGACCACTTGCCCGGTATCATATGGAAAATAGTAACAGCAGCTATTAGCATCCGACAGTCAGTGACAGAGGAAATTTCCTCTTAAATTAGAGACTTTACAGCGGGTGTCCTAGATGACTTTCTTATCTTTGCTTTCATAGACAAAAGGAGCCATTAAAAGAAACAGAGTCAGAACAATCGTAAATATAAAACCAAACATCTGATGTTTGAAACTGATTAAAATCCTGGTACGCTTTCAAGATGTGTTTATAGTAGCTTAAAGTGTTACTAAGTTTTGAGAAATAATTTATTGAGAAAATAAGCATTGTCAGCTGACTCTTGCTGAAAATAATGAGGCGATTGCATTTTCTCCGTGGTGGGGAACGATTGCACTGTCTGACAAAATAGCTATTGGGACAACAGTATTAAGTGTGAGTGCTTTCAGCAGCAGTATTTAAAGAGAACTTGGGCAAGGTCTTATTATCATGTAGCCAATACTGTATTCCCAGTGATTGGGGTAGACTAGGGTGGACTATCAGTTGCACTCTTTTTTTTTATTTTTTAACCTCAAAGCCCCAAATCTTTCTTTATTACTTTCATTTTTCAACTCTACATTGTCATACAAGCTCTGTTTTGTCACAGTTGTGTTGCCCTGTGCAGAAAGTTTCATGTATCACAACTGTATCAGCACCACATCTGTATGGATAAAGACATGTAACCATGGAGTCTGCCTTTTGGAATGAAAATGCGTAAAATTAGAGGTTGCTTCATGCCTCAGCTACGTGGCAAACAAGCCTTGCCATTGCCAGGGTCTACGGCCCAGGCACGTGAGGCTGGACCTTGCACTGGGATTCTTTTTGGCTCAGTATGTGTTTTTTCAGTAGGATGAGGTGATGGAGGCTGAGCCTCTGCAGGAGGCTTTTCTTTAGGGAGGGTGGTTGAAGCTGTCTGGGCTGGGCTGCACGGGGGGGAACTGAATTAGTGCTTTGAGGCAGTCACTCCCCTGACACGTGCACTGGGGCATGAAGAATTCTGGCAGCCAAACTGCTGTGCTCTGAAGTGGTGATTCAGATTTCCAGTTCTTCCAAATATCTTGGAAAGTGTGAAACACTGCATATGGTGCTAAAAACTTGGACTGGATAACCTTGAGAATCTCTTTCCTCAGCAGCCTTTAAGGAGTAGAGTAGGCAACATCTATCGGTCTGGATATCTTTGATCCTGCCTC